CCCAGAGAATCTTTCAGTATTGCAACTTGAGGCTTGGCTTTGTTCTTCCGTTCGTTCAGTTTAAGATTAGCCAGACATGTTTTCCCTTGTTTGGGGTTTCTAACTCCAGGTCTCCGCATAGTTCATTCTCATGCCTTCTCCTCTGCAGCTGCCCTGTGCATCGTTTCCTCCGATTGTCTTCGCTACTTCATGATAATGAACTTTCAGCGTCTCTTCTGATCTTCAACTGGAACTCACTAAACAAGCAAACAAACAAACTCACTGCTATGATGCCAACTCATAGCAACTCCGTCCTCAAGAGAGGACGGACAGGATCGAACTGTCCCTGTCCCTGTGAGTGCCCAGTCTTTCTCCCAGGGAGCAGGCTGGTGGTTTCAAACTGCTGACTTTGCAGACTGCAACCCAACTCATAACCACTACGCCACCAGGGCTCCTTAACTTGTACCAGAAGTAGCCCATTAACCATGGTTAGCCTGCCCTGCACATATAGGTAAACACAACATTGTTCTTCCTACATTTAGTATTAGATGACATGGTATATAAACATCTGATCCTCACTATTGTGCACACACCTCACCCAGGTGACTCTCAGCACTGAACACATGCTGTTCCTGTCACACCTTCATCCTCATTTCCGACCTTTTGGCTCTCAACTCCCTTGGATTTGATAATTCATGAGAATAACTGACAAAACGCATGGAAAGTGCTACAGTTCTCAAAAGCTCTCAGCCATAGAGATTCTGATTTACAGCCACCCTGTGGGACAGAGTAGTGCTCCCCCGTGGGTTTCTGAGACTGTAACTCTTTATGGGAGTAGAAAGCCCAGTCTTTCTCCCGGTGCTACAATTATAGTTATAATAGAAAGAAAAAAGAGGGCACAAAGAGATGCATAGCCTGAGACCCTGGAGGCTTCCTGTTCGTGATCGTTGATGCCTTTTATCAGCGAAAACGCCCCTGGAACTTCCATGTGCAGAGCCTTTACTGGGGTGTCATTGCTTAGGCGTGATTGATTGAATCATGCCACTCCCCTTAGGTCAGCTAGTAGCATCAGCTAAGTCTTTCGGACCTCGCCAACCCTCCTCACTCGAGGGGCCTTAATAACAATCTGTTAGGCTCACTCACTCACTGCCAGTGAGTGGACGCCAACTCATAGTGACCCTTTAGGACAGCGCGAAAATGGCTCTGTGGGTTTCCGAGACTGTACATCTTGATGGGAATATCAAACACCCCCCTCTTTCTGATGCCCCCCCCCCCCAATCTCTGGAGGAGCCGATGGTTGCTTGGAACTGCTGACCTTGTGGATCACAGCCTAAGGGGAGACTCAGGGCCACAGGTGAGGTTTAAATATTTTAGAAATGCTCTACAAACTCGAATGCCAAATGAGCAAAGATTGGGGAAACATAGACATGGAAAAGACCGTGTCCCAACAGTTAAGGAAAGAATGGTATTGGACACTTTGTGAAAGTCCAAAGTTTAGGCCAGAGTCTGTAAACCCCTGCGTTCTGGAGGTAACAAAAATAAGCAGCGGATCCCTCACCCCGGGAACCTATGAGCCCGCACACTCAGAGAAGCCCTGCAAGAAGCCACCTCCCTGTACCTGGCTCAGGCTTTGAGGATAAAGTCCCGAGCTGGGTCCTGCCTGAAAAGAATCACGTGTGTGCATTCCAAGGGCACGAGTGGAGTGGGTGACCTCTCTGGCTCATCCTTGCATAAAAGCCTCCTGAGCGCCTCCCTAGTGTTTCCGGGTTGGGAGAATAGGGAGACGTCTCCCCACCTAGTGCAGGAGTGAGATTAGTGTCGCTCCTACAGTCAAAGTGCTACAATCCCGCCTCCTTTTGCAACGCCCAGCTCAGCAGGACCGGGCAGCGCCGGCTGTTTGCCTTCACGCGTTCGTTCATGGAAGTGGCCGTGCAACCAGAGCCGCCCTCTCCTTCCTTTGTCCTGTCCCAAGGGGGGCAGGGCGGGGGCCGGCGCGCCGGCCGACGCCGGAGACGTGCCAGACGTGCGGCAGGAAAGGCTTCCAGAGACAGGGAGCTGTGAGCGGGAGGCGGCAGGTGGGCGGACGGCTGAGCAGGGGGAGCGAGGGGGGAGGCTGTTTGACAAAGGCAGACAGGCGCATGGAAGCAATTACACGAAAGGAGGGGGGAGGTGCACCTGAGAATTTCTAGGACACCTGGTGTGGGGTGGGGAACGGGGGATTAAGGGGAGGTGGTGCTAGGGACCAGGGGCTGATAGAGTAGGGGCTGGGGGAGACGGAAGCACTGGGAGACTTTTGCAGCCAATTCAGAGACCCCATTCTGATCTCGGAGCCCTGGGGGCTAGGGGACAGGAAGTTTCTCCTG